ACACTCGCACCGCGTCTCCTTTCGTTACGCGTCTCCTTTCGTTACGCGTCTCCTTTCAGTGGCTCGGACTGAATACGTCGTCTTACAGAGGAGAACAGCGTTCGTCTCCCTAACTGATGTGTTTACATTGTTTCCTTCATCTTCGGCAACCTCGCCGGAAGAAGGAGTTGTGGTTTTGGGGCCACGCTAGCTGTTTCCCCCCGTTTCCAGTCTGTGTGCTAAGCTAAGCTAATTCCATGGGATTCTCTGAATAAGTGCGTCTCCTAACATTTCAAATTCATGATCCTTTTATTGACGAGGAGGCCAACCGATGAAACGATGCACATGTTCCTCTTCTTGTGTTGCAATTATTCATCACCTTTTCATATTTGGGTTGCTCATTTTCATCTCACTGATGTGATTTATACATACGCATATATATTTATATATATATATATATATATATATTTTATTGAAGATAACATTAAATTAATTAGAAATGCACTATCCATTGTTGATGTGGTAAATGACTTCTAGGTGGAAAACGTCGTTCTTAATGACATGTCTACACACAGGTACTGTATCACTGTTCTAATGGTACATTGTGTTTGCTAATCGCCTGAGAAGACTGATGGATGATCAGTAAACCCTGGTGCGCTACGTTAGCACAGCATCACATTTTTGCTTACACTCTAAAACTAGCCAGATAAAGGGAACTTTCGTGTGAAACCCGTCAGTCTCTTCTTGTTCTCAGAAATGACGGATATTCCAAGCGAGAAATTGCAAAGAAACTGAAAATGTGAACTACTCCCTTCAGAGAACAGCACCAACGGGCTCCAACCAGAGAAGAAGAAGAAGTGTGAGGCGCCGCTGCACAACGCAGAGTCTCTAGTCGGAGACGTGGACGCCTCACAGGTCCCCGACCGGCAGCTCCTCTGAGGGGAACCTGCTGAACGCCAGCGGGGCAAAGAAAGAGAGCGGCCAACACAACCAAACCATTGATCTGGGCAAAAGAACACCGACGTTCGGGAGATTGGAATCAACGTTTGAGGTGTTTGGATCACACAGAAGAACATTTGTGAGACGCCAAACGGGTGAGAAGATGCTGGAGGAGTCCTGATCCAATCGGACTCGCGGGAGGTGCTTTTCTACAGGTGACCTCAACAAACGAACTGATGCTGAACGTCTGCAAAGCTGGAACTGCTGCAAGAGTTTGAAGAACAAAATGAATATAAATAAAAATGATTATTTCTAACCGTGTCAATGTCTCGACTATATTTTAAATTCATTTTGCAGCTCATTTGATAAATAAAAGTGTGAGTTTTCAGGGAAAACACAAAGTTGAACTTTTGAATGGTAGTGTATATATTTATATATATATACATATGTGTGTATATATATATATATATATGTATGTATATATATGTGTATATGTATATATATACATATACACGTATGTATGTATATGTACACACACATACATACATATATATATATATATATATATATATATGTATATATATATATATGTATATATATATATATATATATATATATATACACACACACATACATACATATGTATATACGTATGCACTTTATAGATGTTCAAAAAACAACAGCAGCTCAGATTTAGTGTTCATTAACATTTTGGCTCACATATCCCTTTTGGATGTTTCCAGACTAATCCGCAGTTTAATATTTGTTTGATAATTTCCCTCTGGATTTAATTAGAAGCCCCTCCTCCCCCCTCCTCCCCCCCGTAATACCTGATGAATTTACAAAGCGCTGAATAGTTTTTAGAGTCGGGTGATGACTCCCAAAGGGATTTGTTACTACCACATTTCCCATTACACGCAAATTTATTCTGTATCTAAATATATTGGTTATGGGCGACTCAAGTACGTGGGCCAACATTAATTACATGGATCCTTATTAGCTGCCTTCAAACCGTTCGAGATCTTTTGGGGAAAATCGCAGCAGAAATGTCAAGTCGGACCTTTGTCTGCGCTGGGGAATAATGATGTTGCTGCATCTCTGCGACTCTGTGATTATTCGAACATAAACCAGTATTTGTGCTCGGACTATTGCAGGCAACATTGGCACTTTACATTTTCACTTGATTTATCCAAATTCAGTATGACAAAGATGCAAACTTATGTTGGGAGGCGAGCAATCACATCCACTGTAGAGTCGCGTGATTCGTTTTGAAGACGATGCATCACGTGAGAACACAGCGTCGGATTATAGTAGGTAGTATCAGAGAGACGTTGATCCGAGCTTCATTCTCTGCTGAGAGTTCCCAAT